CTGCAATAAATCCTGTCACGACCTAACCGATTAGGATATCCTAAAAGAAAATTGGAATGGGTTAGACAAAAACTTTACGCTGATAGCACAAGCTGTGATGGAGAACTCACCATATCAATGACTTATATTAAGCCCGACAAAGATAACCTGCTTTATGTGCTTAGAGATCAATAGAAGGAGAAATAAGACAACGAACAAACCAATAACCTACCAAAAACAGACATTTTCCAATAGAACACTGCGATTGATCCGCTGGAGTGGAATCTTCTGCGTGATATGCATAAGATAAGTGTGAGCAATGTAATATTGAGAAATGAAATGCAACTACAATCACGTGACTAATCATCGTGAAGGTGTCGTGGACCCGTTCTAATCGCAGTACTTGAAGTGGTATGATGGAGTATGTAAGCAAGAAGCAGGTGGAATGGATAAAGTGGTAATAGGGAGGCGTGTGAGAAAAATTAGATAACAAGAGGAGAATTGTGAAAAATTATTATTATGTAATAGAAGAGAAATGCAAAACCTTAGATAATCAAAGTCATCCCAATTTAAAATGTATAAAAAGATGTAAGCAAAAGTAAATAAAGGACAATGAATTATCTTTCTACTTAGCCAAATCAAACATGCCTAGGAACTATTAATATAAACTATCTTTCTGACAATTATGCGACACTCTACCCCAGGTTAGCGATGGACTTGCCGATTGACCTTCACAGTATGTATTTTCCCAGAATTCAGTAGCATTATTACATTTTGCACTATCGTCCTTAGAATCATATATAACAGCTTTATATAGTAAGTTTTCATTATATTCTCCGAAATCCTGTTCAATTAAACAATATATTTATTTTTCTTAGGTATATAACTTTTCTTGCTATGATTTCCTTTCCCTTTCAACAAATTTTATCAGTTGGTCTTGACATTCTAGCTCTGGATCATCATTAAGGTAATAATGTTTTCATATTTCGCTTTCAAACCTTGAATTTTTTCGTTTTAATTCTAAGCTTTCATGCTTACTAATAAGAAAAGTTAAATTACCAATCTATCATACTCATGCCAAAATTTAAGACCTGCGATACACTAAACAATATATAATACATAGTAGGTATTTAAAAAATAAATACTTACCTTCCCTTTTAAAATTATTAATTTAATAATGCTTCCACCATCTTCTGAAACATATAATAGTGCAGATGAACTCTTTCAAAGTGTTCAGACTTTTGCCAATTCTCAAGGTTATGTATTGATAAAAAAAAGAATATGTAAAGACCATCATGGAGAATTAAAAAACATGTCATTACATTGTGATCGGGGTGGAACTTACAGTTCAAAAGCACACTATCGACAAACAAGTTCTCATTTAATTGATTGTCTATTTGAAATATATGCCTCACGATGCAATGGTTTATGGAATTTGGAAGTTCGTAACTCAAATCACAATTATGAACGGTCAGATAATATGTCAGGACATCCAATTTCTCGTAGATTAACTAAATAACAACTGGAAAGAGTTAGAGAAATGACTGTTTTGGATTCACGTCCTAGGGAAATTGTATCAACTCTTAGACAAAATGATGAATCAACATTAGTAACTAATAGAGATATTTATAATGCACGTGAACAATTTCGTCAACAATACCTGGCAGGACGAACACCAATTCAAGTATTAGTTGATAAGCTTCAAGAGGGTGAATTTATATATACAGGGTGATTCAAAATTTTTTGAAAAAATAATTATTTTTTACTTTATAAATATTATATTAATTATAATTTTTAATATTATATTTAATAAAATAAGAACC